CACTCACACAGACATTGCAGACATAATGATTTGCTGACAGAAATATTAAACTGTATTGATTATTTTGTATTTACTTAATTAAATTGAGTTAACTATTCAGACTGAGTGGTCTTCCTCTGTGTCACACACTTTTTTTAGCCAGGTTGTGACAACTATCAAACCTTCACACTGGGAACCTTAAAAGTGTAGTGGTCATAATCGTGGTACTTGAAGAGGCTGGTGGTTTGAGTTTGAGAGACACTGATTTATGTTTTTATACTGGGTTAGGACCAGTGTTGGGCAACTTATTGAAATATAGTGATACTTCTCTCAAAAGGTAGCTGAATTACTTTACCAATTACTGTATATAAAAGTAAGTAAATGTATCTAGTCAGTAATACTCCCAACCACCAGAGGGCAGCAATGACTACCTGTAAGCTACACTTATTGTCTTTGTCAGTAGCATTAACATATAAATCATTCGCCACATGTAGACAGAGTCTCCGCAGTAGTGATTGTGGTTGGCACCATGGTATCAAAATCTAGCACGTACGAACAGCCAACTCAATGGCGAGCAGGGCTCAGCCGAAAATCATCTGCTGACGAGGAGGCAGCGGGCTTTATGACTTATACTGCAGTATGCCACCAGGGGGCCACCAGAAGCCCACATTTTATATTCCTTTATTTTATCAGCCATTTGTAACATAGCACTACAGCATGGGTTGTCTGTACCTGAACTAGCTTGCAGGTTTTGGTCCATCTGTGCACACACACACCGTTTCACAGTGCAATGATCGGTTAGAATGCAGCTTTGTTTTCCGCTTTCAGCTTCAATGCCAAATAGCTTAGATTTTGGGCCAAATCTGATTGTCTGACAGTTTTGCCTGATTTGTTGCATTTTGTTGTAAAGCCCAAAATCTCAGCAATGACTTAAATTAAAAGTAAAATACTTAAATTAAAAGATCTAGGGATGATACAGTACTGGGTGAACACGGTTTCTTGCACTTAGTGAGCAGAATTAGGCTGTGGCTACCTGGCTGCCTGAATACTATTAAGCATAGCTGATCAAAGACATCTCACATATTCACTTATAATTTTAAACTGTGGGAAAAAGTATTACTTGCCTGCTACAGAGTGGCACACACAACTACTCATCTTGGCTCAACGGTTTGTAGCTTTGAATAACTGACAGTTAGTAGCCACTCTGCTGCTTTAGCGCTGAATGACTGAATGTGACTGATGTGTTTGTACTAAAGGAGTATTGCACGGTCCATTAGACACTGTCAATCACACAGACTGAAGATTTAAAGGAATTGAGTAACAGAGTAATTCCCTCTTAAGTTGAGCCCTTTAACCCTTAAAAAGATGTCAAACAAGTGACATTTAGTAGAAGGTTTGATAAACATGCAGACAGTGGGGAATCCACTGGTAGATAAAAATAAGGTGGACATAGGACCGAAAGACCTAAAGACCAGACTTTTCATGCAGCTGTGACAGAACCTGATGAAATCAACAGCAATAAATCTTCTGAAGCAAACACAGGGCACTGTGAGAAATTGCGTTTGATCTCCAAGTAATAAGAATCTTGGGTTTTTCTGAACCTTTCAGCAGATGACACAAGTTAAAAGTTGTTTTTTACTGAGCTGCATCTCCCAGGTTGTGCAGAAACCAAGGAGCTTGCTCACCCTGCAGATGATGACATTTATTTATTCAATTCAATTCAA